CGTTTACTTTAAAGTGCTTCAAAATCCCAGTCACCTCTTATCTAGTTGTAAATATTAACAACAGACATATTACCCTGTGAAATATGAATGGTTTTGTTCCAATCTGATTCTTCCTTTCTGTTAAAGAACAATCAAGCCAGGCCAGGTGTGGCTCAGTGGTTGAGTGTCGGCCTAGGATTCAGGAGATCGTGGTTTGATTGCCGGTCAGGGCACATGCCTGGGTTGTGGACTCGATCCCCAGTCGGGGGGATGCAGGAGGCAGCCTATCTATGACTCTTTCATCATTCATGTTTCTCTCTCTCTCTCTCCCTTCCTCTCTCTGAAATCAATAAAGATATATTTTTTTAAAAAAAGAAAAGAACAATCAGGAAGAATGACAGCCTGGCTGGTGTGGCTCAGCGGTTGAGCACTGACCTAAGATTCAGGAGATCGTGGTTCGATTCCTGGTCAGGGAACATGCCTGGGTTGCTGGCTCCATCCCCAGTAGGGGGCATGCAGGAGGCAGCCGACCAATGACTCTCTCATCATTGATGCTTCTCTCTCTCCCTCTCTTCCTTCCTCTCTCTGAAATCAATAAAGATTTTTTTTTTTTTAAAAAAAGGAAGAATGGCAAGGTGAATGCTGTGTCCCCAGCCAGTAAAAATGATCCAAAGAATGATAAGCCCCTCTCATCTGTCCAATTACAAGAGTTTAGAGTCAAAGCTGCTCCCATACTCCCTGGATAAGTTCTTACTTTAAGGGCTGGACAGAAACAGAAAATAAGGGAACAATTTGCATTGTAAAAGTAGAAGTCCTGAGGTGGTTTAACCTAACCTGTCTCTAATTTTTTTCTTAACACGTAGTGCCATCTACAGGATTTTGACAAACAGCAACCTGCCTGATGTAATCTTTTCATTTCAAAGACCAGTAAACAGAAAACAAAGGGAGGCGATACAGTTTGTCTTACGTCACACAAATAATGTACCTGCCTGTGCATATAGTCATTAATACTCACACAGTTACCCAAGAGAGATTCTGTACTTTTTTAAAAAAAATATATCTTTATTGATTTCAGAGCGAGGAAGGGAGAGGGAGAGAGAGAGAGAAACATCAATGATGAGAGAGTCATTGATTGGCTGCCTTCCACACGACCCCTACTGGAGATCAAGCCCGCACCCCGGGCACATGCCCTGACCGGGAACTGATCTGTGACCAATTGCTGAGCCACACCGGTCAGGCCCCAAGAGAGATTTTGAAAATAAATAAATTTAAATATTGAAATGGCAACATCTTCCTGAATGAAGAAAAAGGCTTCTATCAAACAGCTTCCCTAAATTAAAAAGTTCACTCCAGTAAGTCTGCTTTCCCTCCGAATCAGGCCAGCAAACAAGGACGCTGTACCATGCAGTGCAGGGCATTGAAATGTGAGATAACTGCTGACTCCGGTAATTAATTCATCATTGAATTGAAGGCATTACATACGGGAAGATAAAAAATCTAATTCCAGTTTCTTTCAGCAAGAATTGATCTAAGAGTTCATTACAGAAGGCAATTTTTATTAACACAATAATAACAACAAAAAAGTAATGACAAGGTTTTAGTTCCAATCATTATGTCTTGAAAATGTCAATGTTATAACAATAACTATTAACTCCTTTGTACAGAGGATGAAAACAAAGCTTGACTAAGGTTACAGAGCTAGTAAGTGACAGAACATTGACTTGAATCATGGTAAGTCTGTCTCTAAAGCCTGTGGGCTTTCCATCACATTTCAAGTAATATCAACATTGCTGAGAAAAACTGTATCATAGTATAAGGACAACTACTGGAGTGGGGTTAATAGGCAGATTTGAATGCGTGGCCAGTTTCCTGTTAATCAAGCTGTTTGAAAAATTAACAGCAATAACACATAAATTTTACCAGAGGAAACATGAAGGAGACTGCTTTTAAATTTCCTGAGTGGACTAAGGTCTAACTCTGGTTCAGAAAAAGATACTTAAAAGTAGACTCTGCTTATTATGCTTGATATCTTTGTCTGCCAGAATGCATGTTTGTAAAATGTTTTATTTTGGTTGAATGATTTTTAGGGTTGTTATGAAAGTAGACTATTTGGAGTGTCACAAAATGTCTAAAAGATTGTATATGACTATGAAACAGAATATTTAAAGAGTCATCAAACCATGAAAAGAGAAAAATGGCCCCTAAGTAAACATATTTCTTTCAATCTTTTTTCTGTCTTTATGTGTGGCTCTGGATATATGTATAATTTACACTGCTGAGGTGATGTTCTCTATACAGTTTTATATCAGCACATTTATACAATTATTTACAGTTCTTTTTCTAATCATGACTGTAATTATTTAGAACATAAAATAAACAACAAAAAAACCCAGACAAAACAAGGTTTGGAAAACAGTATAAGTATTGGGGTAAAACCTGAGCAAATATAAAAACATACTGTGAAAACTACTAGAAATAAACACTGTTACTGGCTGACAAATCCTGCCATTAATTTTAATCGATATGATTGTTTACCTAAGAAAGGCAAGAGAATTCGTGGGAAGGTCTCTTCAAATAACATATTGAGGAACCTTAGTGAAAAATCTGAAAAACTTAGTAAAATAAAATGATAAAATTATTTTTGAGCACTCTATTAGAAGATGTTAATAAATGGAGAGAATTTGAGTCTGGTTAGAGGATGATGAACAAGGTGGCTGTGGGTGAGGAAAAAGACATCATATAAGGCCTGAAACAAACAAAGAAAACATAGGTACCAAAATTATGGACCTTGGTCTTAGAGAGGATTTTATGAATTTGATCTTAAAGGCAAGGGAAATAAAAGCAAAAATAATGAATGGGACTACATCAAACTAAAAAGCTCCTGTACAGCAAAACAAAGCATCAAGAAAACAAAAGGACAACCAACCAAATGGGAGGAGAGATTTGCAACCAACACTTCTGATAAGGGATTAATATTCAAAATATATAAAGAACTCATACAATTCAACAACAACAAAAACAATACAATTTTTAAAAATGGGCAGAGTTCCGACCAGCATGGCTCAGCAGTTGAACATCGACCTATGATCCAGGAGATCATTGTTCAATCCCCAGTCAGGGCACATGCCCGGGTTGAGGGTTCGATTTCCAGCAGGGCGCATGCAAGAGGCAGCTGATTAATGACTCTCTCATTATTGATGTTTCTATCTCTCTCTCCCCCTCTCCCTTCTTCTCTCTGAAATAAATAAAGATATATATTTATTAAAATATAAAAATGGGCAGAAGATCTGAACAGACACTTCTCCAAAAAGGACATACAGATGCCCAACAAACATATGAAAAGATGCTCAACTTCACTAGCTATAAAAGAAATGCAAATCAAAACCATGATAACACATCACCTCACACCTATTAGAGCGGCTGTTACCAACAAGACAAGTAACAAGTGTTGGAAAGGTTGTGGAGAAAAGGGAACCCTCATTCACTGCTGGTAGGAATGAAAACTGGTACAGCCACTATGGAAAACAGTATGGAGGTTCCTAAAAAAATTAAGAATAGAGTTACCGTATGACCAAGCAGTCCATCTTCTGGGTATCCATTAAAAAATTTTGAAGATATTTATTTACAAAGATGTTCATTGCAGCATTATTCACAGTGGTCAAGACATGGAAACAACTGAAGTGTCCTTCCATAGATGACTGGATAAAGATGTGGTACATATATACAATGGAATACTACTCAGCCATAGAAAAGATGAAATACTGCCATTTGCGACAACATGGATGGATCTTGAGAATATCATGCTAAGTGAAATTAGTCAGACGGAAAAAGTCAAGAACCATGTGATTTCACTCAAATGTGGGATATAAAACTGAAAGCAGCAAACAAGACACACAAATAAAAACTCATAGACACAGACAATAGTATGGTGGTTGCCAGAGGGAAAGGTGGGTGGTGGGTAGAAAAGGGGGAAAGGGGTCAAATATATAGTGATGGAAGGAGACTTGACTTTGGATGGTAAACACACAATACAATATATAGATGATGTATTGTAGAATTGTATATATGAAACCTGTACAATTTTATTAACCAATGTCACCCCAATAAATTCAATTAAACACAAAGAAGTTTCCTGGGAAGAATAGCAAACCACGTTTGCTTTTGTTTTTCATTTTTTTCTTTTTCAAGGAAAAATAAAACAACTTTCAAGTTCATAAGTTTCTACCATCTGGGTGTTAGACATATATTTAATATAGACATAACTATATCAAATAACAATTTTTCATGAGTCATTTTTGAACATCAACCACCATCCTTCCAGTTTCAAAAAGAGAAAGGAAGAGAGGAAGAACAGTTGGTTGCATAGTAGAAGTACTGATCAAAGAGTTTGACATTTAACACTCCTAGGATCAAAAGGAAAGGAAGATATTAAAGCATCTAACATACATGCTCAGTCCTAGGTAAAGCAGTTTGCCTCATTTATTTGTTACAATATCGCAGAGAAGGTGGGTAGGGGGTGTTGAGCCTTGATTCAACTACTGCCAGCAAACTCTTGACACCTATGTGATAGGCACTGTGCTGGGAGCATAGGGGACACAAAGATGACCCAGACAGAGACACCCAAGGGCTAATTCTCACACTTCTATGACTAAGAATGAAATTTAAGGGGAGACATCATCTAGCACAATTGAAGAAGGACATGCAGCATTCACAGCAGCTACTGAAAAAATAATTGGGCCAGAGAGCCAACCAAATAAATGAGGCCCTCTGAGGCACTGGCCAGAATGCAAGTGGAGCATGGACTAAAGAGCAGTTCAGAGTGCTAGTATGGAAATGTAAGTTTGAGATCCACCATCCAGTAGACAATTTGAGGGTCATTCCCCAACATGCACTGTCTTTCTACCCACACCATGACCAGATAAATTCCTAGGAAAAACTGAGATTACCTGCTCCCACAGCAAATCCCCTCCTTGTTGCTGTCTCCATCCATTACTCCTGAATTCTTCCTGACTTTCTCTCTTCCATGTCCTCTGAAATCTGCATCTCAAAATGGAGCTCCTATGTGCTCTCTCATTCAAGTGTGATTATTTTCTGTCCCTTGATGGAAACTTTGCACCCTCAAATGCAGGGACTGCATTGAATTCTGCCTCTTCAAATATCTGGCAAAATAGAACTGGGTCCATCTATAATGGGACATTTTAAACATTTTTGAGGTGATATAAAGTTTCTTTCCATCTCTTTCTAATTGCTGGTACCCTGAGAGGTACAGGTAAGCAAAACCACTAACAATTGTTTGAAAACAAACAAACAAACAGCATTCCCCAACATAGGATTTGGTACTGTATAGGCAAGCAGTATCCAAAATGTGAGATGAAATCAGCAATTGATAATATGACTGAATTTCTTATCACTGTATAGTTACTTCCATTACTGGTACATGCTCTACTCCAAAAACCTGTCACCCAAAATACACCCACTTTCTAAATATTATATGCACTGCTGCTTTTTCACTTATTTTAATAAAATTGTCTAAATGAGTCCATAGTAATACAGAAAACAGAGAATAAAATTGGATGTATTCATAAGTCACATGCCAACTGGTCCCCCATCTCTCTCTCTTTCTCTCTCTCTCTCTCTCTCTCTCTCTCTCTCTCTCTC